ATTCACCGGAGAGTTCTGCTTTATTAGGGAAAGGTGCTGGGTTATATAGGAAGGGGCATGAATTGATTGAGGTGTCACTTCTACGGGGCTGGTGGCTGTTGGCTAGGTGCTGGGATTGGGAGGGGGGCGAGAGGTGATTGGGCTTCAGGTGGCGCCGGCGGGAACTGAGGACCCCGAAGAGAAGCCGGAAGTTTGCCATCTTACTGGTGGGGACCCTTCACTGAGTGTCAATAACACTAAACTGGTTCTAAATTAAAGTTTACTGGAGAGCTGTGGTTAAATCTGGGGATGGCCATACAACCAGTTCTTTTAAGAAATGAGTGAGGAACAAGAAAAAGACTGTTATTTAATAACAAAAGGCACCTCATAATCCTTTACTTGTGTACTGTACACTAGTTATTGAAAAATTCACTTGGAAATTTCCTTTTCATGTTTCACTGCGACCCCTAAGTTTTTGGTTAAGTATGTTCAAATGGGAACTTCTTTCCCTATTTCCTATTTGGATGAATAAAAGAAAATAGATACATGATTATTGTGTGATATAATACAGTGCTGAGTTCAGTTTAAAAGTTGTTTCAAAGGAAAAATGCATCCATGTAAGAATTCAAAGTTGCAAGGCATTAAGAAGAAATGCATTGTTTTTATCCGTTTTGGTTAAGTGAGTCATATAAATTATATTAAAATTAATTAATGATACCTTGCAAGAGGCAAGACCTATACTACACCATTGGGTCAAACAAAAGAGAAACGCTTTTAACATTCTAAGTGTCACTAACACTAAATTGATTCTGAATTAAAGTTTTTGAAGAACTATGGTTAAATCTGGGGTGGTCTTAAACCATGATGCCTGGAATAGTCCCAGTTTATACCTGTTGTCCTTAATAAAACCCCTTTTCACTATCAGAAATATCACCATTTAGATGAAGTCATGTGATCACCCTACTTAAACAAATGTGCCAAATATACATACTTTCTCCCCTACTCTTTATTTACATACTATCTTGTTTTTAGGAAAACACATTGAAATATTATATTTTAAAAATAAAATTACAATACAGTTCAAATATGCCATTTTATATAAATAGTTGATTAATCTCCCATCTTATGCAGCCAGGAAAAGATGCCACCTTTACTGTCAATCCAAAGAGACTGGAGATGTCGCTTATATGAAACAGCTGGTGCACGATGGGACGCGCTGCTCTTACAGAGACCCGTATAGCATCTGTGTGCGAGGAGAGTGTGTGGTGAGTTTGATCTGCTTCCCCACAGTGGCAGCAGTCCTACTTTTACTATCATTCATCTGCATATTTTCAAAAAATTCTAACTCTTATCTGGGAAATCACATTCTAACAAGAATCTATGACTAATTTAGTAGCTACACTAAATTTGGGAGAAATTGCAGTAGATAAAATCAAACTTTGGCCATTGGCAGAATTAAGATATAAACATAGTTTTCCTAATTTCCAGCCAAATACCTTTTCTAAGTTACTCCTATGACTCCATGTTGGGAATACAACAACTTGGGGGCAATGCTTTTTCCTTGAATAGTTTACTAGCACCCATCTACTATTAAAATACAAAGTGTTTTATAAAATTTAATGCTAAATATGTCTTTCTTTTAAAAGATAATGGCAGCTTCTCTTTTTCCCTCTCTCACCTTCCAATTGAAACTAAATTTAAACACTGAATTCCGCATGAGGACAAGTAAAGCTGCAAAAATTTTTGGCCTCATTTAATTTCTTTTTTAAAAAATGCAGTTTATTTTCTTGTTCATGTTTACAAGTTGAATTGAGATGAAATTTTCCTTATTAACTAAAGCTCCCACCATAGCTAGTGCATTACATGTATATGTTGTCATTGTTTTCTCTGCCCACTTTTATCCCAAATTTACGAGTGCAGAGGCATGTCATGTAACATCATCCTGCACTGATGTACATTAAGGACTTGCCCAAGTTTTGAAAACCTTCAGTAGCTCCCCATTAAATTAATGTGAAAATGTAAACTCTTCCTGAGTGACCTTCCTAATCTTTCACAACCAGTGCTTTGCAAATATTTGACCACTCCCTCGCCAGACGACACTACCCTTCCATTGGTTTAAGTATTGTTCTCTGGGCCCCTTTTCTGTGACCATGCAACTTCCATGGCTCTGTTTTAATCCCTCAATTTCTGAAATCCTTTCCACAGGACCCAGTGAAAATCTCCAGCACATCTGTGGAGCTTTGTTGCACATCCCTAACCAACATGTAATATTTGTGCGAATGTGCCCCCCATTATTTTAGTATGCATCATCATAAATATGAATGCATAAAGGGAAAAGCACCAGCTTACTTTTTGTCTCATCCACATAAACTCCAATATCTGTACTTGATAAATATTCGATGACTATGGCTATGTGTGATGGGGTAAATATTTCATCTGACTGTACCTAGAGTACAAGTCATTTGATTTCATAGCATTCTTTAAAAGACTGAGATATTAAAAATGGGAGCTAGAGTGAAAAGTTGATGCAGGCTGCCTGACTGTGCTCATGATTAAGCAAATGGTTCATCATTCTTTAGGATGCTGACCTCTACTTGTCATATTATAATCAGACACATTTAACATCTTCTCTCCCTAGAAAGTGGGCTGTGATAAAGAGATCGGTTCTAACAAGGTTGAGGATAAGTGTGGCGTCTGTGGAGGAGATAATTCCCATTGTCGAACTGTAAAGGGGACATTTACCAGAACCCCCAGGAAGCTTGGTAAGATGAGGTCTCTCTTGAATTTACTATCCTTCTCCATGGTTTGTACTTTTTGGGACTTCTGCTTTTAGGAATACAGAATTTTCTCTATTAACACAACAAAAAATTAACTGCTGATCAGAGTGCTTTTTAAGGAAATAGTTAAAAAAAATCTTTAAATTCATACTCCATAGCACCCACCATGAGAAATTATCTGCTAAATTTAGGTGAGGAACAAATAAAATTGATACCAGTTATAATAGTGAGGTAAAATGTTTTATTTTGTATTTTTAATAAAATATATTAGACCTAATTATTAGAATTGATGCTAATTTTGAATTTGCTATTGCACATAAATTTTTTATCAGAAGTAAAAATAAAAACCACAAAACTTTGAATACAACTTTTAAAACATTACTTTGTTTTACTTCTCTTTTTCTAGAAGTAAACAAATTTATCCTACTTATAAATCTGTGAATCCAGGATCCATATTTCTCATAGTTTTTAAAATTTTATATTAAGCAAAATTGAGGTGCAATCAAAAAATAACCTGAGATACAACTGCTTATGCATATGAACTTTTGTCCTTTTTACACAGTGACTGGGACTTAGGCATACAATGAGGTTCAACAGATGGGAATGAAAGCACAAATAATATGCAAAATTAGTAGTTTCATAATTATTCATCAGAATTTTCCTAAAAGATTTGGATGCAAACATTTATTACTGAATTTTTTTCTAATGTGCAACAAATGCTATTTAGTTATTCAATGACTTGAACAAACTTTCTGAGAATTTGACATTTAAAGATAAATTTGATGTGATGCTTCCCTTGAGAGGTTTCTCTACATCATCTACAGAGTTGGCGTTGTCTCTTAGAGAATGACAGAAAAGAAAACAAAACAAAAAGGAAGAAAGAGATGTGGTTCACTTTGAGCACCCTTTTAAAATAAAAGAAAGTATAAGACAGTTAGTCTTCATCCAAATGGAATAATTCTCTTTGGTCTTTCACTCCCATTAGACCTCAGCTACGCAACTCAAGCCAGTTCTCACTTATCAGCTTTGCTCTTTGACATACTTAGGGGGACTTTATTTTAATGTGTTTTTCCCAGGCATTTCTACTCTATTGAGCTACTGGTGTCGTTGTTATTCCTGTGTGAGAATTTACTGTTTAGTACTTTTAAAATTATTAAGAAGCAAATATTATCATTTCTGGCTGCTCATGTTATTTTTATAAAGCAAACAATTAGAATTACACGCGTATTTATTAGAGTAACATATAATTTTCTCCATCTTGCAAAATAATTTACTGTGCTTTCTCTATTGGAGTTGTATATTATTCTTTTAAGTATAAAATAATTCATACTGTTTTATTCCCAGAGTGAATTAATCTAAGGAAAAAAGTTTTCCCATAACCATCCATTCTATATTATGTGTAAAATAAGGTAGTGTTTTTTCCAGATACCTCAAAAATTATGTTAACCCTGCAAATCAAGGTCAGAAGAACAGAAGAAAGCTTTCGTCAGTCATACAGATTCCAGGGTTCAAAGATAATCTAACATCCATTTCTTTGCACTAATGTTGTCATCATAGTCATTCAATAGACTAATTAACCTTTTTCAACAGGGAAACATTTAGGCAAGAGGTGCCATAAAGAATTCAAGTTGCTGGAAAGTGAAATCTGCAAGTATTCACCTTCAAATCACCTCTATCATTTCTCATTCATGTTTAGTCTTACTTTCATTCACTGTTGACACTTTATTGGCATTAGCTGGCTGTTATAATTGCATTTTGACTTCAACATATAAAATTACAGAACACATTTTTTATCCTACTTAATAAAATATACATAGCTTATAGTATGGTCAATGAAACAGCAAGACTTTGATAACATGAAACCTCCACTAATTAAAGACATTCTATTTAAGGGAAGACGAGAGGAGCCTTCACTTTACCCAAAGGAGCTCGTAATATTTCTCTTGCTGAAACAAGGGAAGCTAAAAATGTACTGGGTAAGTTGTAGCAAACTGCAGAAAGATGGGCATCCACAAATGGCATCAAGTTGTTTTGCTGCATGTGGCACCTGAAGCACATTACTTCTAGCCATTGCCTACTCAGGCAAACATGGCTTATGTCATGTATTGGACCTTACCCAGGCTCAGGTACTGAAAACTCAGACCCTAAAATGACTACTCCATTTAGCAAAGACACTAAGAAGTATTATGAAAAAGTTGGGTTAATCTACCCACTGGTAGATAGATATTCATTGTCTAGATACAAATGACAAACATGTGTCTTTCCAATTCCATCAGCAATTGTGTAGCTATAACTGAATTTCTATCAAAACTCAGCCTGTAGTACATGAGTCGGATGTTTTATAATGTAAGATGTCAGTTGCACAGTCTCTCTATAGTAATTTTTTTTTTGATGGGAATGAGATAAAACATCTTGATTTCTCTATTTGTTCAATTGTTGATTTATAGTTAGGTTCTTAATTCTAAGTGGTCTTAAAATAATTCTTAGGACAAATACTAAGAAGATTTGTTATATATGACACTGATTATAATAGGATCAATAAATGCTTTTAAAACCCATCAGCCTATTAAGCTTATTGATATTTTTATTTCTGAATTAGAAGATGAGATTAGAGTAAATGTAAAGGCAATGTAGTACATACTTTGCAAACACTTTCCAAACGCTTTGGTCAAATCTACAACATAGATTTGAACACATTGCCATTATAAAATTCGTTTAAAGCTTTTAAAGTCAATTGCTGATCACAAGAAAAATGAAAGCTGCTCACTGATGTTTCTTTTGTAATTTCTTTAGAACAAAGCAGGCTTTTAAATATGAATATGTTTCATTAATTGAAAGCTTAGCTATCTATATTGCCACTTACACTTTTAGAATAATATAGAGGCAGATAAAATATCTCAAGAAGTTCACCAACTAAGTACACTAAGAATTGGCTCCATTTCAAAAGAGTGGGTAAGAAAGCTGAAACCACATAGAGGGACATAGGAAAGTGTAGCGTTTGCCTGAATTGTTGACACAATTCATCGATCAACACAAGAAAAATGCCTAATAGCATGGAAACAGTATTAAGTTTCTGTCCCATTTTAATAAAAAAAAAAAAAGAAAATATTTCTTCTAATCTCATGCCAGATGTCACAAAGGCAACCAAAGCTTTGAAGTTAATTTCTGAAACTGCTTTCTGCGGTTTGTGGATGCCTTCTTCTGCGTGCAGGGGCAGTGAGAACCCAATGCTCGACTAACCATGGTCGTCGCTTTTGTTTTCTCCTTTGCTTCCTCCCATATTTACTACACATGCAAAGGCTACCTTAAGATGTTTGATATACCCCCTGGTGCTAGACGTGTGTTAATCCAAGAAGACGAGGCTTCTCCTCATATTCTTGGTAAGTGTTTCTGTCTGCTGGCTTTCCGTTAACATGCTCTTAAACATAGGAATGTCAAAGAAATCATATATATATATACATATATATGTGTGAAAATATGGGTATATATGTATATGTATATATGTATGCATAGATATACAAGATTCAAAATTATATATAAATGCATTATTATGTGGTTTTTGTTGGTCATTTCTTCCAACTATTCTTCCTTTAAGAAATTTTCAAAAGTAGAGCTTTAATTACTGGTAAAACTTGGGTTGGCTCATTACTACAGAGAGAAAAAAAATCGTTTGACAAGTTTATATTTGTTATGCATTTTCTGTATTAGGGGATGAGAAAAATAAATGTTAATAAAATGCACTAAATTAAGGAATGATATCAGACAAATTTGCCATATTTATGTTGGCAGATTAGTTTTGATATTTTGATTGATGCCATACTATATGCCTCTCCTTACTTTTATTGCATTTTAAATTCTTTGACTGAAAAGCAATCACATATGAATTTTACTAGTCTAATGAAAACCTTTCCTAATATCTGTTATGTGTCTAGTTCTGACTGGCACATGCAGATCCATTTGCATGTCTGTTATAATTTCCAAAAGAAGACTCTTTTCCTCATTTATGAGAGGATCATGTAGAAATGTCACTTTACAGGGGTTTTTTTTCACAGTATACATACAAGTGCATATAACTTTCACATATTCTTGGACTTATTAAGGCACTAAGATTTCTGAGACTAAGGCATCATCTGTCAATCCTATAAGAATTTGTAGCCAATTGCTTTTTTTAAATTTGTCACTTAAAAAAATGAATTGTTTTATGGTATTTCATAGAATTTCTTTTTTTTACTATTTAATTATATTCAGTACTGGATTCTGTAATAGTCTAGCAGTCAGCCATAATTGTTTTCCCATTAATTAAATTTCCTTATTTTTTTATCTTAGAATTTAGATTATTATCTTTGGGAAAATAATACCAGTTTAAAAATTCAAGAGGAATAAATGTAAAGTTAATCATGTTTTCTACACATTTTCAGTAATGGTAATAACATGAAGTTTCATTTTCTAACTCATCATTGTATGCTGAAAAACACTTCAGACTTTAAAATCCCATTTCTTATTTTTGATCCTTTAGCAAAAGCACTTTATTTTGTAACATATAGTAGATCTACAACACTTTAAGAATTCCATCACCAGTAAGCAACTTTTTCTAGCCATATCAGTAGGGGATGTATGTGGTCTTGGAATTTTACAGTCATAAGAAATGTTTGTTGGCCTAAAAATGTGAATATTTTTACTAACTTGAAAGAGATACATAGCACAGAAGCGATTATGTTATATGCCATCCTAGTATAACTGGTTTGTATGAATTATTATAGAAGTACCATTTTTTCAAAATATTCCCAGCTTTCTGAGGAGATGTATAAGATGAGTGAGTTAGAAATTTACCCTCTTTGGCAATGTTTTCAAATGAGAATATTTGCTAATTTTTATCTCCTATTTAACCATCTTGCCATTGTTTTTGACCAGTTAGGAATGCTTCCTGAGGATTTTAAATGAAGGAAAGAAAGGGGAGTTAGATCAGAACTAATATGTATTTTAATTGCTTTGATGCTAATAAGCACCGTCTTTTGATTTATAGGAGGGAATAAACTTAGTAGGGATCATCAAAGCTGTAATGTGATAAAATAAAATGTATGCTAGTTACTCATTTTCCTTCCTTTAGCTATTAAGAACCAGGCTACAGGCCACTATATTTTAAATGGCAAAGGCGAGGAAGCCAAGTCGCGGACCTTCATAGATCTTGGTGTGGAATGGGATTATAACATTGAAGATGACATTGAAACTCTTCACACAGATGGACCTTTACATGATCCTGTTATTGTTTTGGTATGTGGCTTTACAGGCTCACTATGTAGTTGGTTTAGTTTATAATTTTATAATTAGTTTATCTAAAAACACTTCTACCTATAACATTGATCTATTTAGCTGCTTGCTTTTTATAATTACATTTATCTGTCCATTTCTACTCTGTAGAAATATATTTCATTATATATACACCTTTAAAACACAATAAAAAGTGTTATGATTTTTGACTTTGGTAGTTACCTGTTGAAGACAAAAAATAGATTTTTATATTTACCCACATATTTACCATATTGGATGCTCTTCATTTTTCCCTATAAATCTGATTTTCCATCCGGTAGCACTTACCTTCAATATAAAGAACTTCTCCTAGCATTTCTTATGGTTGTGGGTGTGTGTACTAACAAAGAATTCTCTCAACTTTCAATTATCTAGAAATATCTTTATTTTACCCTTGTTCTTAAAGATAGCTTCGCTAGATATAAACATCTGGTTGCTGTTTTTTTTTTTCTTTCAGCACTTTAAAATGTTTTTACATCATTGTAAGAAATTCAAGAGATCTGGGGATAATCAGATGCTAGCACAAGCTGATAGTACCTCAGCAGGTTTGCAGTAGGGCTACCATCCAGGAGAGAAGGGCAAGGGAGCTCCTGAGAGAAGGGATTGGAGAGGGGGTTTATGTAGCTGGGTGTTATCACTCAGCAGCACCTCAGGGAGTCTCTGGATCTGAGAGCTCTGAAGGGTGGCAGCTGCAGCTTGAAGTCCTATATGTGTGGCTATAAAGCCACAGTCTTGTTTACAGTTAGCAGGTGCTGGGTGCAGTTTCATAGGGATGTGCAAAGTAAGCAGGCACTAAATGGTTAAAATATACACCTAATTGGGCTACATTTAAAACAATTGAATATGTAGAATTTTGAGTTGGATGCTAGCAGGCTTTTGAGTCTCAGCCTGCTGTAAAGAAATGAATAATCTAGGAGCCATCTTTGACTCATCTACGTAACATTTGTTTGTCTTCTAGAATCTATCATTTATGACAAGGCCAACTTCATTTGTATTGCTTCTCTGTATGCAGAGTATCCATTTTTTTCTGGCTGCTTTTTAATATTTTTCTCTTTATTTTTTTGTTTTATTTGTTTAGCAGTTTGACTAAGATATGCTTAGTTTGTGATGTTCCTTGTATGTATCTGGCTTGGGGTTCACCAGGCATCTTAGCTCTGTAAATCTGGGTTTGTTTATCCCCCCATCTCTCACTTCTCTACTCCTAAGATTCATTTACATGTATGTTAAACCAGTTGAAATTCTTCTTAGGCCTTATTCATCCTTTCATGATCTTTATTTTTCCTTTGTTCTCAGATTCGATCATTTCTACTGAGCTGTATTTGAGTTCACTGACTGTGTCTTATGCAATCTCCAGTCTGTCATTGAGCCCCTCCAATAAATTTTTCAAGTCAGATGATATGCTTTTATTTTCTAGAATTTGCATTTGGTTCTTTAAAAAAAAATTTCCATTTCTCTGCTGAGATTTCCATGTATGTTAACTATTATGTCTACCTTTTCCTTGAAGTTCTGTGTCTACGTGTTGTCTCCATTACTGGGCTGCTTTTTTTTCTTATGGGTCTTGTTTTCCTGCTTCTCAAATAGCAGGTTTGCAGTAGGGCTACCATCCAGGAGAGAAGGGCAAGGGAGCTCCTGAGAGAAGGGATTGGAGAGGGGGTTTATGTAGCTGGGTGTTATCACTCAGCAGCACCTCAGGGAGTCTCTGGATCTGAGAGCTCTGAAGGGTGGCAGCTGCAGCTTGAAGTCCTATATGTGTGGCTATAAAGCCACAGTCTTGTTTACAGTTAGCAGGTGCTGGGTGCAGTTTCATAGGGATGTGCAAAGTAAGCAGGCACTAAATGGTTAAAATATACACCTAATTGGGCTACATTTAAAACAATTGAATATGTAGAATTTTGAGTTGGATGCTAGCAGGCTTTTGAGTCTCAGCCTGCTGTAAAGAAATGAATAATCTAGGAGCCATCTTTGACTCATCTACGTAACATTTGTTTGTCTTCTAGAATCTATCATTTATGACAAGGCCAACTTCATTTGTATTGCTTCTCTGTATGCAGAGTATCCATTTTTTTCTGGCTGCTTTTTAATATTTTTCTCTTTATTTTTTTGTTTTATTTGTTTAGCAGTTTGACTAAGATATGCTTAGTTTGTGATGTTCCTTGTATGTATCTGGCTTGGGGTTCACCAGGCATCTTAGCTCTGTAAATCTGGGTTTGTTTATCCCCCCATCTCTCACTTCTCTACTCCTAAGATTCATTTACATGTATGTTAAACCAGTTGAAATTCTTCTTAGGCCTTATTCATCCTTTCATGATCTTTATTTTTCCTTTGTTCTCAGATTCGATCATTTCTACTGAGCTGTATTTGAGTTCACTGACTGTGTCTTATGCAATCTCCAGTCTGTCATTGAGCCCCTCCAATAAATTTTTCAAGTCAGATGATATGCTTTTATTTTCTAGAATTTGCATTTGGTTCTTTAAAAAAAATTTTCCATTTCTCTGCTGAGATTTCCATGTATGTTAACTATTATGTCTACCTTTTCCTTGAAGTTCTGTGTCTACGTGTTGTCTCCATTACTGGGCTGCTTTTTTTTCTTATGGGTCTTGTTTTCCTGCTTCTCAAAATTCCTTTTTTTAAATGTACACTGGATATTATAGATGATAAGTTGTAGGGTATTTAGTTTATGTTGCTTCCCTTACCCGCTTTTGGGTTTTGTTCTGGCCAGCAGTTATTGTTAAGCTCCTTCTGATCCTGAGGCCTGGTTTATGCTTCATTAGGGCTGATCTGCTTTAATCTTGCCCTTAGTATAATGGCTTTTTGGTGCCGTAACTGAATACCTGAAGTATTAGTGAGGCCTCTTCATTCTGGATGGATAAGAATTTCTCTGTCAACCCTGCCTGACCTCAGGTATCTCCCAGTCCAGCAGCACCCACTTATTGATCTACAGCGTGGTTTCTTGGCCTGGGCATGCACAGACCACCCCTCCATTGAACACATCAGCCTTTTGGGCCACTTTACGAAGCTCCCTTTGGGGAGAATTGAAGTTCCCATGGCCAGAATCCTCATCTGACCCTAAACTACTTGATGATGTAACTGGCCTACTGCTAGGCTAACTGTTTTCACACCCGTAGGCAATAAGCTATTATTGACACAGTCACTATATAGAGAGCTCTGCCCAGTCCTCTGGGCAGAGGCAGAGATGGAGATGGATTATGGACCTGCAGACTGCTGGATACAGGTCTAATTCTAGTGCTTGACCTACCAACGAGAGAATAAAGCCAGGTATAAACTTTTTTACCCCAAGAACGTTCCGTTGTCATTTCTCTGTCTCACTGAATCTATAGTGAACTTGCCCAGGGCTGGAATCCTCAGGCAAGACACCCCTCTTATTTAGTGCCCTGCACTGCATGTTCCAGACTCCACTCTCCCTCTTCTTGGCTCACACAGGAAGCCAGGACCTTGCATCCTCTCTTCTCACAGGGATCGTTGTCCTTTGCTGCATTACTTGTGACCAAAAAAAAGCTCCCTCATGTATTCTGTCCAGTTTTATTGTTTTTAATATCAGGAATGCAATTCTATTACTCCTTCATGGGTAAAAAAGAAGATAGTTAAAAAATACTGTTGGATTCTGTATACAAGTATTTATTGGCTTCTCTATAAAAGATATTTTACTAATCTAAAACCAAATCTTCTCACTCAATTGCAAGGTTTTTTTTCCCTTGGAAAATTATTTCCTTTTGGTAAAGTGGTCATTCAGATCTTTTTCTCATTGTTAAAGTAGGTTATATTTTTACTTTTGTTGAGTTTTAAGAGTATTTATACATAGTTCATATAAGTCCTGTGTGAAATACATGATTTGCCAAATATTTTTCTTCTAGTCTATAGTCTCTTTTCCTTATCTTAATAGTGTCTTTCACAGAGCAAAACACTTTATCTTTATTGAAGTCTAATTGATCAATTTCTTCTTTAATGGATCAAGATTTTGGTTTTTTATAAATTTTTTTGCCTAATCCAAAATATTTTTCCTTTTTTTTTTGGTAAAAATTTTATAGTTTGACATTTTGCATTAGGCTTATGAACCATTTAAGTTGATTTTTATATAAATTTTGTGTGATAGGTTCTCATTTTTGCATACACATGTCCATGTATATTGCTGTGTAACAAATTACCTCAAATTTAGTGGCTAACACAAAGCAACATTTAATACCTCATAGTTTCTGTGGACCAAGTATCTGGGAGCAATTTAAATGGCTAGTTCTGGCTCAGGGGAGTGCATAAACCTGCTGTCAGCTGTGGCTAATGACCTCAAGGCTCTACTGGGGAGATCTGCTTCCCAGCTCAGGCACACAGCTGGGAAGGCCTCAGAAGATTGCTCCTAAGCTTTTTCATGGGCAGTTGGGTGGGCCTAGGTTCTTCACTGTGTGAGCCTTTCCACAGGCTGCTTAAGTGTCTGTGTCACACAGCAGCTGGCATCGGCTAGAACGAGTGATGCAAGTTAAGAGAGAAAGTGAGAGTACAACCAAGACAGAAGTCTGTCTTTCCTAACCTAATCTTTCCTAACCATCACTTCTGCTGTTGTCTTTTTCTGAGAAGCAAGTCACAGAGTGCATCCCACATGGAAAGGAAGAGGAAGTAAGCTCCACTTACTAAGAGGGAAAGTATCAAAAGATTTGTAGACACATTTTTTAAACCACCACAGTCTCCAAATGTTACAGCACCATTTGTTGAAAAAGCTGTTCTTTCTCCAAAAATGTCTTTTTCATCTGTGTCAAAATATCTTGACAGTGGGATTAAGCCTGGGCAAGTTCACTCTTCATTGAGAGAGACCAAAAAATGACAATGGAACATTCTTGGGGTGAAAAGGTTTATACCCAATGTTATTCCCAGGTGGCAAGTCAAGCACTAGAATCCTGTCCACCTCAGAGTAAGTCTGCTTGCAGCAAGCCAGTCTCTGTCTCTGGGCCTCTCCATCCCTGGGCCTCTCTGCCCCAGAGCCATCTCAGTCTCTGTCCTCAGTATTGCCACAACTCTGGCCTCTGCTCTCCTGCAGCCATGCAGCCCAGAGCACTGGGCAGAGCTCTTTATGTATAGGCACTGTTAATGTATTGCCCACACAATGTGCAGTGAGCAAGCCGGCCAGGGTCAGGTGAGAATCCTGGCCACAGGAATTTTCATTTTCTTCATACAAAATTAATTGTCCAAATTTATGTCCGAGTTTATTAATTGTCTAAAATTAGCTGGACTGTCATTCTGTTCCATAGGGTAGGTAATTTTGTAGCAAGACTGTATACTAATCAAATTTTGTTAAGTTTGAATAATTGGAGATCAGATGCTCTATTTTGCTCTTGCATAATCACACTGCATTATTTTCCAGTGCCACAGGCATCTGGCCCCAGAGCCCTGCTGTTTAACTGCCATGATAGACCAGGTGGTCTATCTCAAGGCTTTGCCCGCAGATAGTAGTGTGACCACAGGGAGTAGCATGGGCTGGAGCTGTCAGAAGGAGCTGAGACAGGAGTTGTGGACAAGCAGTCCTGTATCATCGTGACCTTTCTCTTCCTCTCTAAAGTACAGGAACCCTGGTTGGGAGCCCTGAAACACCGTGGCTAGGCCATCTGCAGCTGAAATCATTAAACAGTTAGACATCTGGCTAGAGTGTAAGGGTTGGTGCTGGATTTTTAATGCTGTTTTAAAACCATAGAATAAGGGAAGAAAGAGAATAGAACCCAATAACCAAATCCTTCATACTAGTGGGTTTAGTATTACTCAATTTCTTAAACAAAAGCTGTTTCTAAAAGTTTAAATACCAATGAATTGCACATTTCTCCCTTTGTATAATAGATATAATTTTATTTAAGCTACATGGAAGTTAATAAAAACATTTTTCTCAAAAAAAAGAGTGCCTTCTCCCAAACAACATTAAAAAGCAAATAAAAAACTGAGAATACACTTACAATGCTTATTATTAAATGGATTACTATCCTTATTGAATAGATTATGTATACCAATTAAACAGAAGATGGCATGACATGAATGTGCAGTGTGTAAGAGATAAAATACAAGGGACTAATAAACTTAGGAAAGCTAAATTTGCTATTTATCATATAAATTAAATTTAATTTTTATAGCAATGAAAAAATCTTTTTGTCCATCCAATGAATAAAGTTGATAATTATATAATATGTAATATGGGACACTTTGATAAGCTCTCATTATGAAAGTAATAATTGCTTTTAGTATTCTAAAGGAGCATTCACCAGTCTATTTTAAGAACTAAAAAGTGCTTGTACCCTTTAGCCCATTAGGAATATCAGAAATCACGACAAAGGTAGGGACAAATTATAATCAATACAGATATCAACTAATAAGTAAATAGTTAAATGATGTACACTACCTTTAGGATAAAACACTATGCTGACATTTAAAAGTATGTTTTCGAAGAGCATTATCTTGAGAAATGTGTGACTCATTGTGAAATAAACAAGGCTAGAAAAGTATGTTTGCACATGCATGCACACACAGACATGCATACGCACACACAAGCACACGCAAACGCATGCAAATATCCTGAGGGTATATCCCAAAATAATAGAAGTGACTCTGGTTTTCTTTGGTTTAGTAGATTTATGGATGATTTTTATTTTCTTTGTATTTTTCCGTAATGTGTGTATTTTCTGGAGGGAACATTATTATCTTTATCATCATAACAAAACCGTTGTTTTAAAGAATAATTTTTAAATGCACTAAAGAGATATATAACTTAAGGAGCCTATAGAAAATCTTACTGTAAACTTATTTTTATAATACAAATTCTTACTCCTCAATTTGTTTTAAATATTTTTTATGGTCAAAGATTTAATATATTTGTATTTTTTTCCTTAAATAGCATACATACACTTTCATTGATAAAAACATCATATTCTTAGAAACTGTTTGAAAGTCTTCCAGTTTTAATAAAAGAGCAATATTCTGAAATATTTGTAATTTTTCATTCAGAATTTAAAACTCTCTCAGGTGACTTACCTATGTATTCCATGTATATGCTAGATCATACCTCAGGAGAATGATACCCGCTCTAGTCTGACATATAAGTACATCATCCACGAAGACTCAGCACCTACAATCAACAACAACAATGTCATCCAGGAAGAATTAGACACTTTTGAGTGGGCTTTGAAGAGCTGGTCTCAGTGCTCCAAACCCTGTGGTGGAGGTAACAACCAAACACATTTAGTACGTTAAAATGTCGTGCATATAAAAACAGTCTTCTTGCTTCTCTACCTTTAGGATTGTCTTTAACTGAGGTCTCAGTCTGAGAAATACCAAACATAACAGCTACAACATAAATACAAAGCATGTTTACTGAAATCTCAGAACCCACAAAGGATAAGAATCCATTTGTAACAATGGTAGATCTTCTTAGAATCCTGTCCCCCTTTTCCCTTGGGTTCTTTTTGACTCATATGCATATAATGGTATCTTTAATCACTTTCTGTTCCCAAGCTGTTCTCTGGTTCTTGCCTTTCTTCTCTACTTCTACTTTCCACACCTATGCATTTCTTTATCAGTGCTAATATTAAAAGAGTTGCTAGTTGCAGTATGTAGCAGATATTGTTTTAAACTTTTTATGTATTAATGTATGAATACTCACAATGGCTCTCAGAAGTCGGTACTGCTATTATCTTTATTGTACTGATTGGGAAACTGAGGCACAGGGAAGATAATGCTTAGACCATAAGATACAAACCCAGGTAGTCTGGCTTCTGAATACATGCTCTACTACGTTATGATTCCTCTCTGCCCTCTCTAGAGAAAATCCACTTACCTGGGCTCAGAGCTTTTTCATTTCCCCTATCACCATCCCTCTAGTTCTGAGCAAAAAATGCTCCAGACCTGAGCTGGTTTAGAGGGAATCCTCCCAACAGGCAGGAGAAGACAAAGGGCTCTCACAATGATCATACTGAATAACTAAGAACAAAAGAATAGTATTTGTAGTAGGCAATTCTTCTGTAAACCATTGGTTTCATAATTTTAAATTCAAGGATATATCTCTAAAGTGTGCTTTTATTTGGGGGGCATTAAATGTTTTTAGTTAATTATTTAAAATGATACTTTATCCATTACAAGATGCTTATTTAATTTGGATCCTCCCTTCTGCTGCATATGTACTTGGTCATAAGATTTGTCAGTATGCCTTTTAAATATCTACCACACCTATTCCTTCCTCACCGGCTTCCTTCATGATTTTGGAAGGGAAGATTATTGTAAAAAGTGTCTTAACTAGTTAACTAACTTTGATTTCTTCTTCTTCCTTTATTTCCAGGTAATCTTCCTTGAATAAATGAGTGAATGAATGAATGAATGAATGAATGGAATTATGTTATTTCCCTGATTTAAATCCTTTAGTCTCCTAATGTATTGCCCTGAAGACACAACATAATTTATGAAGTAGTCTTGCCCAAAGTGAATAAACTGAATCTAATCATTAGGATAAAATTAAATTATCCAAAATTATGAGACATTTTACAAAACAACTGCCCTGTACATATCAAAAATATTAAAGGTAAAAAAGAGGCTCAAAAACTCTCTCTGATTAATTCCATGACAGCTAAGTGCAATGCATGATCCCTGATTGGATAAACGTTGCTATAAAGAGCATTATAGGGACAATGCACACATTTTGAATGATGGTCTCTATATTAGATAATACTATTATATCTGTGTTAAATATCCTGACTTTAAAAATTATTTTGTGGTTACATGAGAGAATGTGCTTATTAGGAGCAATATGCTGAAGTATCTAGAAATGAAGGATCAGGAAGTCAGCAAAATTTTACATATATATTATAACTAATATATTAAATATATAAAATACATGTGTGTGTATATCAAATATGGTGACATGGTAACACAAGGTTAATCTAAGTGCAAGGCATATAAGTGTTTATTGTGCATTTGTTACTACTTTTTTGTAGGTTTGAAATTTTTCAAAATAAAAACTTATTTACTTATTTACAAATGTCAAAGTTGGTGTTTGGAGAGTCATTCAGTAACCCCCTATGAATTTCAGGATAAAGTTCAAACACTTGTCTGGCACCCGAGGCTTGTAAGATTGGATCTTTTCCTATTCCCACCCACTTCACACATGAAATATCACCCGTTTAAAGAGATGTTCAGTTTTCTATACGTCACTTCTTTTGCCTGGAGTATTACCTGAATCTAATATATTACATTCTCTTTGCCCAATACTATTTGAACTTTAAGATTCTGCTCAAGGAAGTGCTAGTCCTGTAAGTGGTCCCTGCCCTTCCCCTCTGTGTTCCTTTGGTGCCCCTGTAGTAAATTATTTACATAGCTCTATAAAAATCTTGTATCACTGGAGGTGGTCATAGTGGATTTCAAATCTGTCCCTCACCCTAGACTGTATATAGGTAGGGTCTAGTTATTTAGCAACTGTGCAGTTGCTATTTAATAATTTGTAATATTTATTAAATGTAGGTTTTAAAAACATAAGGATTTTTGTTTAATTCGCTCCCAGACTTTCAGCACCTAGAACAGTAACTGGCTTATTATATGCATTTAATAAATATATTTGTTGAATGAATCATCATGTATATAGCAGAATGAATAAGTGATTAAATCTAAAGAAATGTATTTCCTTTCCAGGTTTCCAGTACACTAAATATGGATGCCGTAGGAAAAGTGATAATAAAATGGTTCATCGCAGCTTCTGTGAAGCCAACAAAAAGCCGAAACCTATTAGAAGAATGTGCAATATTCAAGAGTGTACACATCCACTGTAAGCAGTTGTTTTAACATCATATTCTGAGGACAAAATAATAGGGATTTAAAGCCTGTAGCTCTTCTTAGTTTTGATTTTATTTTAATGAAAGCTAATACATGCACCTGCTTTGTCAATCATCTCACAGGAACTATATATCAAGCCATGGTTTCCTGCCCTTTGCTATATTCCTGCTCTTCAAAAGCAACCTCTTTCAGCTTCATGCTTCTTTTAATCTTTTGGTAACTCCTTCTTTCCAGCTCTCTAACTAAAATGTTTTTGTATCCACTCCTTGACTTTCTGGAGGAGGAAGAAGTTTTAAACATATCTATTGAATTTCCACTGTGGAAAGTGAAGCATTTAGCATTCTTTTACAATCCTTCCCCAAATGCACACCCACAGCACATACTTCTTCCTTTCCCAGTGCTTCCAATATCGATATAACTTGTCTTTTCCTAATATTAATATTCAGAGTTTATATTAACAACATGTATCTCTCTCTGTACGGTTGAGTCACTTAGTATACTCTTATTATGTTTCTTCTAGAGTTACTGAATTTCTTGATTTTTATTTTTGTTTTCTACTACTCTTCACTAATTTATCCCCCAGCTCTCTTCCGTGAGCATCAGTGTCCTCTAAGCAGGAAACACCCAAGGTGCGTATCATTTGCATCTTAGAGACATCTCTCAGAGAGCTCTATGTGTACCAGCTCTACAGAGCTTTCATCCTGAGAATTTTTGTACCACCCTCTTAGGGACAACTACTGCTTCTCTCTTACACTGGAATTCCTGTTTCCTGCCTTGCTGACTTATCTTTTTGTGTGTTCATTTATTCTGATAGAGCATATCTTCTAGTAGCTTCACCAAAGTATACACAAAGTTAAGAAAATTTATGTAAGAATTGAATTCTTATACACTGAATTAAAGTATACAAGAGGTTGAAGTATGAAGGTTCACAAGCATTCCTTCTTCTGCCCTCTCTTTGTATCACTGGACACACACACATATGCTCCTACAGTTCCAAACTATTTTTTCTGTTAGAATTGTGAAACTATTGTTTCATTGTTTCCTAGACTCCAGTATTGCTGTTGAAAATTAATTTGCCATTCTGATTCCCAGTTTTTCTGTATGACCTATTTTTGTTTGTCATCCAAAGTTTGTAGGATCCTCGTGTTCCCAGTGTCCTGAAATTTCACAGTGATGGAATTGCCATGGTTCTCATCTTTTCTCATCCATCATGCTCTGTTCTTGTAGACTTTTTAAAACACAAAACCAATTACCTTTCATCCCTGGGAGCTTTTCTTGTATTTTTTCTTTCAAAACATTCCCCTATTTTTTTTCAGTGTTTCTTACTTTCTGGGATATTTGTAATTAATTTCCTAGACAGATGTCATTTTTTTTCTTTCCTATTATTTACTGTTCCATCTGCTGGATTTTTTATTTTTACTATTATATCATTAATATCCAAGATCTTTGATATCCAAGCACTCTGTTTTGTTTCTCAAATGTTCCTTTTCCAGGTATTTGATTCTTATTTCACAGATGTAATAGACTCTTTTATCTCCTTTAGGATATTTAAGATTATTTCCTTTTTCATGCATTATTTCTTTTGAGTTATTTTCTTCTGTTTGTATTCTGAACTCCTTTGTTATTTGCATTAAAGGCTTTCTGTGATTTGGGCTGTTCAGACATATATAAGAATATAGCACTTAAAAGGCTGATTGGAAGCTTGCTTTATGGAAGACTTGTTTGCTGGTGGGCTTCACTGTAGGGTGAACTGACTGGGCTATTTCTTGGGTAAACCCCCAGTTATTTGTATATTGAGGTCTTTTCTAGTGAAATGATCAGATTCCCAGAGCAGAAATGATCTCTTGCTTAGAGAGCATGAGCCTATTTAAAAGCTGTTCTGGATGTTGTACATGTATAGGCAACTAGGGTCATCTCACCATTCCATATTTGGATTTTTATAAAATCTTCTGTCTTGCCTATGGTCTCTTTCTCTGTTGTTTCTTGACTATGTCTTGTCTACAAGTTAAAAGTCTGGCTTGCTTTCTACAAAGGATAAGTTTTAAGTCTTCTGCTGGGTTAGAGGAGGTATAGTTACCTGGAGGGGTTAAGGGTTAAGAGGTCTCAATGCTTCCAGACTGTCCATCAGTTCCCCTGTTTGCAGCCATGCCTTCACCCATACTTCCACGTGAGGCCACAATCGCTGCACATTTTTGAAGTTCTGTAGTCAAGTCAGTTTGCTTATCAGCTTCTATTGCTGACTTAAACTTAATCCTTCTTAGGTCTGCTGAGTTAGCAGCCGTATGTCTAATGCTTTCTAGGTTCCAAAATTATCTTGTGATAGCTTCTTTCCATTTTTTTTCTTTTTTTGCCTTTGTGGGTTTATGCTATTGTTCTCCTTTGTTGTCATTCTAGGAATTTCAGGACAGAATAAAGGTAACCTGAAGTGTCTATGACTATGAAGTATATACTTCTCATATAATAATCTGTCTTCAAATGAGAGTCATTATCGAGGTCTTCAAAACTGAATACAATTTCTCAGTCACCACAATATAGTCTACTGCCTATTTGAAAAACTAAGACAGTCTTAAACTGAGTAACAAAGACTGCCAAGGTTTTAGCATGGTTATTTTGGTGCCCTGTAAATATGGAAAGAAAAAAATTGAAGAGGGGCAGTAACTTTGGAAAGAGTAAATAATATGCCCTTAATTACATTTTGTCAGAATGATTCACCAGGTAGACTCAATGGTGACATCCCTTTGGGACCTGGTAACCACATGCAATGGGGAGTTGTCCGTAATATTGTATCCACAGTGGATTCGGAGAGTGCTGAGGGCACTGACATTGCCATTAGAATTTGGGACTGTCCTGTGGTAAATCTTTTTGAAAGATCTGTTTGGAAACTTAGTTCTGTCAGGTGCGTTCAAGCCCTGGATGGATGCCTACCTCTGCCTTTTCGTCAGGACCAATACGAAGAACTGAATATTCCAAAAGGAATAGATATGTCAGGTAGCCTCCACAGCAGCAGTTGTGGAAATGAAACAGTCATCTCGGTTAGAAGGGTAAAACATGAGTAAATGCATGATTTCATGAGAAAACAGCAACAGTTGTATCAGCCTGTCTTAGCAAATATCAGATGGATTCCTTTTTTGATTTACTTTCAGATGTTTAACACCATTAAGCAATCTGGCTGAGAATGAGCTGGTGTGTTTTTGAAAGCTACCATCATACCTGAACCTAACCAGACAACTTTAAGATGCATTTCAGAAACCCCCTGTTGATCATACTTTAGGAATGGAGGTTTCAGAGACCCCAGGAGACAGAAAAATATGAAGGCATTAAAAATAGAAGTGTCAGGCCTATTATTGTTAGAAAGTTCTAACACTTTAACTGATTGATGCATCTGTTTTTCTGGAACTGCTCCCTGAACCTCCCTAGGCCCTGTGGGCTGCACATTGCTCGGAGAGCAGAAAGGTCTAGGCTTGCGGTGCAAGAAGGTGCCTGGCCCTCATGCCAGTGATTGTGTTCAATCTTACCCCCACACCTGCAGCTGGGTCGCAGAAGAGTGGGAGCACTGCCCTAAAACCTGCGGCACTTCCGGCTACCAGCTCCGCACCGTCCGCTGCCTTCAGCCGCTCCACGACGGCACCAACCGCTCTGTGCACAGCAAGTACTGTGTGGGGGAGCGTCCCGAGAGCCGCCGGCCCTGTAACAGGGTGCCCTGCCCGGCCCAGTGGAAAACTGGGCCCTGGAATGAGGTGGGTGTGTGAATTCCACGTGCATGTGTTTGTGTGTGTGTCTGCATGTGAAGCATATTTTAATTTGGCTTAACTATCAGGTAGGCTTTGTGTGAATTGAGAAATGGTCATGTATTTTGTAATCATTAAGCACCTGGAGGTGTTAGGAAAAATTTGTATTTTACAGTAGTGTTTGCATTTAAGATGAGTTAGTAGGGGCAAACCATGTTTGGGTGTTTGTGACATAGAGGAGTCTATGGGTGACTGATCTTCTTTCTAATATCTTTGTTGACTTCCCCGTGCCTACAGGGTCAATTCCAAACCCCTGACACTGCAGGCAGGGCCTTGCCCTGTTTGGCATCACAGTAACTCTTTTTTTAATCGAGGTGTAAGTGACATAACATTATATTAGTTTTAGGTGTACAGGGTAATGATTTGATGTTTATATATATTATACAAACATTTATACAAATGTATATCACCATAATAAATCTCTTGCTAACTTCTCTTATTCTTTCTTTATTCCAATTCATTATCCCAATTTGGGTAAACTTCTCACTGTTCCAAAGAGACCATGGTTTGAGCCTCCTACCTTTTGGCTGGCTGGCTCTGCCCCCTCCACCTACCTAACCATTTCCCCTTTCCACCAAGACTCATTTCCCTGGTCCAAAATGCCATCTTCCAGTGGGTGCCGATCCTTCAGTCCTCCTGCATTCCAATGCAGAGAAGCCCACCTCTGCATGCCACTCACAGCAGATGTTGTGACTTCCTTGGAGTCTGTACTTGCTACTGGTCCGTGCATGTCTCAGAAAGTATGTGCTTTGCTTCCCCCTTACCCAGCCAGTGCCAATCCAAAGGTGGTGTTTGCTGATCTGCTTTCTCAGTGTGGCATTGTCTGTATTAACCCCATGTCTTTGGTATTTCTAAAGATTCAAAATGAGTCATCATGACATCATAAACGAAAAGCTTAAAGGAGGAAAAGGCATCAAAAAGCAGACAGCATGGAGGAAGTGGAGAGGAGGCCAGGAAGGAAGGAATGGGCAGGTGAAAGGTCAGCCACCAGGACCATCATGATAACTCACAGCCTGTTCTCCCTGGGGGCCTGAACAAGGGTCCCTCCTCTGCAGCTGTTGCCCAGACAGACAGCATAGACATTTTTGGGCTTAGGTTTAGAGCAGTTAGCCCTTTCTTTAAAGAGATTAATTTGTAGGAATGTAGTAATAGGAGTTCCAAAGAGGTTGAATTAACCAAGGTAGCATGTCAGTAAATTCTGCCATCTGTAAGGAAGATGAAAGAATGGGGTGGTCAGTAATGGCTCCCTGAAAATAGACACCTCTAGTGTTTTTAGAAACTGTGCAGGTATTAACATCATAATAATGGTTTCTTTCATATCAAATGCTTACTACATGCTAGGCACAATTGCTCATATACATTGTCTCCTTTGCCTTTGTCAGTCCTATGAGGTAAGTGTTATTATTCCAGCTTTCAGAGAAAAAGTGGTGTGCTCTGGCCAGGTGATGATGGAGCCAGGGTGTAAACCTATGCTTATCTGTCTCCAAATAACGTGCAACACTGCAACCACAGAGGAAGAATTCCAGAAATACGCATGGGTGCATGTGTGCGCACTCACAGGGAAAGGAAGAAAGACAGTGTTGGTGAAATCGGTATCTGTAATCGCAGCCTTTGTTTCTGCAGTGCTCAGTAACCTGTGGTGAAGGAACAGAGGTGAGGCAGGTCCTCTGCAGGGCTGGAGACCACTGTGATGGTGAAAAGCCAGAGTCCGTCAGAGCTTGTCAGCTGCCTCCCTGTGATGGTAGGTGTGACACCGAGCTGTGCTCTGACAACAGTTTTTAAGCCTTGAGAAGAAGCATTTCCTTACAGGACACACTTTGAATAGATTTTGTTAGCTTATCAAAAAATAACCAAAGAAAACACTGATGAGCTATTAGCCAAACAGGGTTCTTCAAGGTGGGTGTTTGATGCAGTGTCCCTCACCAGTCAATCATCAGGACCACTGCAGCCTCCGTGCCTCCCCCCAGGGAGTAATGCTGGGTGAGGGCCCTGCCGTGTACGTGGAGCTTCTGTCCATTTGTGTTTCCAGCAGGAGTGCTTTGATTTCTTTGTAATTTCACATCATTGTAAAAGGTATATTATTGCAGAAGGTTTTGGAATATTTTACCAGATTATTCCATTTAGATGTGTGGATAGTAAATGTCATTCACAAAGCCATTTCCTAGAGCTGTCCATCCAAATGGATACCTTGCACGTGGGCAAAAATTTCCCTAATGTCCTCTTGCTGTTACTGCAAAAGCGGAGTATCTTTTATTTTAAAATATAAATCAATTTGCTATTGTACAACAAGTAAAATATAAATTGGACGGTTGCAGTTTCTATTAGCCTGTCTCCCTCCTTGTCCTTCCGGGTTGCTCTCTGCTTACACCTGTGTCCTCTGTCTCAGTCTGTACCGTCGCTGTGCCGTCCTGCCTCTTGTTTCCTGTGTCTCCTCTCGCTCTCACTTGCTGTCATTCGCGGCCTGTATGTGGCTCACTTTCTCTTCGTCTGTCACACACACTTCTTCAGCCTCTCTCTCCTCCTCACCCTGTCTGCCTACCTCCTCCCGTCCCCCTCTCTCTCCTGCTCTCTTACCCTCTATCTACCCTGACTCTCTCTTTTTTCTGCATTTTCCTCTTTCTCTCCCTGACATCTCCCCCACTTTCCTGCCTGTCTGTGTCTCTCTTTCTCTGCCACTTTTCTCTTCGTCAGGGTCCGCCTGTCTTTTCTCCACCCTCTTGTCAGTCTCCCTGTCTCTCAATCTCCCCACCCATCTGTCTCTCCCTGTCTCTCATCTTCCCCACCTTCTTTCTCTCTTCCTCCCAGCCCCAATGTCTCTATTCCCTGACTCCGGGTCTGTCTCTTTCTCTTCCTCTCTGTCCTTCCTGTCTCTCTTTCTCAGCCGGCTGTCTCTCTCCTGCCTCATACATTCTCTACCTCTGTCCTCTCATTACCTGCCCGCCTCCCCACCCCTGACCAGCTTCTTCTTGAATGCACTTCTCCTGAGTCTGTGCCCAGTGACAGCTGTGGACATTGCTCTGCCACGCTGGTGAGACTAGAGGAAGTTGCTTCGTTGGTCTACGCCATACATGAGCCATTAATTGAATATTGGCATCTTCTGAATGGTAATTTCTTATTTTTTCCCAAGAAAATTGGTAAGACACTATTTTATCAAATGTCTTATTTTTTGAAGACCTTTGAAGCTTCAGGTCTTTTAAACCTCATAATTTATTTCATTGTAAAGTTTCACCAGAAATTTGTGGTGGCAAGAACAAATATGACCATGAGGGGGAGACAAAGGACTTAATATATTTAATCATTCTCTGGAACGTATATTTGAAAGTTCAAAGCACAAGGCAAAGCCAAAAGAACAAAATTTACCCAGTGAAAAGTTGTAAAAATTACTGTTACCATAATATTTCACTTTTATGTAGGTCTTACTGCCAGGAGGCTAAACACTTTGTGAATAAGCTCTATTGATCTTAATAGCTGGTAGAGCTATATATGTATTTCTGCAAATAAGCCTAATTGTCAGCAAGAACTGCCTGAATATCTTCCTTTCACCAAAAGAAAATTTTTTTATTGTAAAACAGAGATGCTAATGAGATGAAATAGCTATGTTAGTGATTCCACATCCTTTTGTCTGCTCTATTGCTCTGAAATCTAGGCCCCAAAGCCAAGTTTTAAGAATTTTAAAAAGCCGTATTATTTCTACTACTTATCAATCAAGTACTAATTCCCATCAGAGTCTCAAACTGCAATTAGAATTAAATGACCTTTTGAGATAATGTGTAAAACCCTTTTCCTGAACTTCCATAATAATCTGGGCATGGACAAGAAGGCCTTTTAGGTTCCTTTATTTTAATGACTGATTTTATCATGTGAAACCTTCTTATAGGCCCCTTTTTAATTGTATTATTTAATTGTTGTTAAGCCCTTCCCATCTGTCCCAAGGCAAATTACTATAAAGTGAATATATTGCTTTGCTCTCATTTTTTACTCAGAATGTCTCTCCTTTTCCCTCCTCCATGCAGAAGCACATTCTGGCACTAATTAGACCCAGGCTGTGAACTGGTGCCTATCATGAGGAGGCAAGGTGCTCACACGTAGAGACAGGAGACTCTGACGTGGACTCCTGTGAGGACTGCTCACACTTTGAACTGGCCACAGAACAGGACTGTTGGGGGTGATGGGGCCAGAGAGAAAACGGAACATGTGGTCAAATAAGGTTTCCTCACCTAGGATCTAGAGCCTTAAACATATAGGAAGAAGAAATTGGTTTCCTTATTTTAAGATATGGACATAGAAAAAGTAATTCAGTAATGATGCAGAATTGATATTTGAGGTGAAACCCATTAATATAATTCTCAGGCATTCACAACATAATTAGGTGATTATCTTAGCTAATGTGAAAATTTCAAACATCATATATATATACACACACACACACAAACACATATAAAACAGATCTGTAAATGTCAAGCAAATATAAGTTCTTCTACAATTTGGAAAGTAGACATGGTGATTTTATAATCTAATAGGTGATTTTATAATTTGTAATTGGTAATAACTAAAGGGGGTCATTTTAGCCCTCTACTGTCCTTGCCAACTGACCCCCACACTTTTTTTTAACTTTAGGAAAAAAGTATTCTTCAGTTTCTTTGGCAAGTTATATAGCAGGTTCTTTACCTAGCAATATAACAAAACCCAACAATAGATTATAATTCTAAGTGATTATAGTACATAAATGCCACAACTTATAATTTTTGTGTTTATTAATTGAACATGGGATCAGTATTTTTGTGTTGCTCTGTGTGCATGCACTCTGTATAGGGTATGCCCGGATGGTTAAAAATAAGTGTACACAAACATTTTCATGAGCTCAGCATTTGCATTTTTTGAAATCTAATTCTTGTAATCAATAAAATTTTAAAATAAAAAGAGTGTATACACACATATGTATAAGTGTTTTATGAGTGTTACTCTAAACGTATTGTGTTTTATGAATATTACTTTAGTCCTCTTTAAACATAAAGCACTACAATTCAATGAAATTAAGTTTAATAACTGAATTATTCTTAAGAAGGTTGGCACACTACTATTTTTTGCTTTCAAATAACAACTAGTGTGAGAATATCCAATAGTAAACATGAAACTATGCATTTACTCTGGAGAAAATTTTTCTAATCAAGATATTATCTTGATTTTTCTTTTGTTAATACATTTTTAAGATTTAATTCATTCCAACAGGTATTTAGTATTTATTTTGATTTTAAATATAAATTTAATGTAGAATATACTCTATTAGAAAGCCAGAAATACCATAAAGTAAAAAAAACAGATTGCCCTTTATATCCTAGAAATGTTTGTGGTGAGGAACCTTGATCTGAAGACTCCTGATGGAGATGTAAAAACGGTGGTCCTCCCAAGTGCTTTGCAGATAAAGAACCACTTATTTCAGTAAATTCATTAATGTTCTTTTTTAAAATTGAGATATATAGCATTACATTAATTTCAGGTGTAAAACATAATGATTTGATATTTACATATATTGCAAAATGATCACCACAATAACTCTAGTTAACATTTGTCACCACACACAGTTACAAATTAGTTTTTCTTATGATGAGAACTTTTAAGATCTACTCACTTAGCAGTTTTCTAATATGCACTATAGTATTATTAACTATGCACACCATGTTGTGTGTTACACTCCTATGACGTATTTTATAATGGAAATTTGTACCTTTTGACCCCTTCACCCATTTCATCCACCTGCAACCCCTCTCCTCTGGCAACCACTAATCTTTTCTCTGTATCTGTGAGCTCATTTTTTTGTTTGATATTTTGTTTCTAGATTCTACACATAAATGAGATCATATATTATTTGTCTTTCTCAGTCTGATTTATTTCAGTCAGGATAATACCATTAAGATTCATCCACATTGTCACAAATGACAGGATTTCATTCTTTTCAATGTTTGAATAATATTCCATTGTGTATATATACATTTTCTTTATCCATTCATCCACTGATGGACATTTAGTTTTTTTTCTATATACTAGCTATTGTAAATAAAGCTGCAATAAACATGGGAGTGTATGTATCTTTTTAAATTAGCATTTTTATTTTGTTCAGATAAATACCCAGAGGTAGAATTGTTGATCATATGATAGTTCTATATTTAATTTTTTTGAGGAACCTCCATACTGTTTTCTGTAGTAGCTGCACCAATGTACATCCTCACCACTAACATTCATAATTTTAATGCAAAGGCTCATGTGTACAACTATCAATGTGAGATTTTACTTAAATCTTTTTGTATTGATAAACAATTTAAAATGTTCCCTACTTTTATGTTTAGATGTATCTATTACTTTGTTTTCTTGTAATTTTTGCAGATGAGCCATGTTTGGGAGATAAGTCCATATTCTGTCAAATGGAAGTGCTGGCACGGTACTGCTCCATACCAGGTTATAACAAGTTATGCTGTGAGTCATGCAGCAAGCGTAGGAGCACGCTGCCACCACCATACCTTCCAGAAGCTGCTGAAACTCCTGGTGATGCTATCTTTAACCCCAGTGACCTCCCTGGATCTCTAGTGATGCCTACGGCTTTGGTTCCTTACCATTCAGAGAGCCCTGCTGAGAAGGAGTCTTTGAGTAGGATCTCTTCAGTGGGAGGTCCAAACGCACATGCTGCTTTCAGGCCACACAGTAAACCTGACGGTGCTAACTTACCCCGGAAGAGAGTTCAGCAAGCAGGAAGTAAGACTCTCAGACTGGGCTCCCCACCCACCAAGAGTGGCCACCTCAGCTCATCTTCTCAAATGGCTGCTGCCCCCTTGCTTGCAGCCAGTGATTCAATAGGTGCTTCTCCTCAGGCAAGAACCTCAAAGTAAGAAAGATGAAAAGATTATCGACAAGAGACATCCATTAAGATTATCTACCTTGGACAGAGGAGAAAGTGAACCTGCAGGCTGGAAATCAAAGGAAAACCTGGATGAGCTCCTTCTTGCATGGTGCATACAGCTTATTTAAGGTGGAAATCTCCATAGACTGTCCACTCATTTCATTTGTAGGTGGAAGAACAAGAAGTGCTGGTTCACTTTCTAATTGCTTTCAACCTCCTTTTGTTCTACATGGAATCATTTATTGGAATTCATTGGAAGAAAGCACCAAAGATTATTGACAGAAGGAAAGTAAGTTGCTAAGTGTGTTGGTCACTCTAACACAGAAAAGGGACTGGAACCAATTGTGCATATCAACTGATTTTTTTGTTTTAAAAAAGTTACAGTAAATATAAAAAAGTGCCAACAGTTTACAGTTTAACAAAATATTTTGGAAGTGAAGCAAAGGATTCTTAGACTTATATTCCTATTTATCTATATTAAAAATATTGTATGAGCAAATCTGCAGCTGTTGTGTAAATACTGTATATTGCAGAAATCAGTATTATTTTAAGAGAAGTGTTCTCAAATGATTGTTTACTATATTACATTTCTGGATGTTCTAGGTGCCTGTCATTGAGTATTGCCTTATTTGACATTCTATGTGTTGATTTTCAAAACAGAATATAAAGAAGTTAGAATTGCAGTTATTGACAACACAAAGTGTTTTATGTGGTTTTGTTTAATCAACAATGTGATAATTAAATTACAAAAAAAGGAAAAAAACAGATCTGCTGCAGATATACAGATTTCAGGTTACCTATTACCTTCTGTCCTTTAAATAAAAAGGAACAGGATTGGTGTCTTAGTATACTCATGGTCACAGAAAGCAGAGACCAGTAAATGAGCCTGTGCTAGACAAAACTGAAACCCTCTTATCAGGACTTCAGGAGGCACCCCTGAAGTTTCCTATGTTCTTGTGTTGTTTATTTCCCCATTGTTGACATATACAAACAGTTATACTGAATGTACTGTAGTAATAACAAAGGAAAAATGTTTCATGATAATTTGTATGTTCGTAGTTCAGAAGAACATCAATGAACTAGAATTGACACTCAAGTATAGCAGGGTTTAGGGGCGTTGGAAGCAGGTTCAAGAAAGCATTTGTCAGTGGTTTCAGTATTTATTTTCTGCATGATTCATTCCAAATGTTCACAACCACAGTGCATCTGACTGCAACAATGTGCTAGTAACTTATGTCAGTGGTCACCTTACTCACAGTGAAGCCAGAAATGCTCTCTCCAGGGAGTAAATGTAAAATACTTGTATATAGATTTCAAAACTGAAGGTATTTATTAAAAGTTGATTTTTTTTCTTGATAGTATTTTTATGTACTAAATATTTACATTAATATCAATGACATATTTTGGTAAACTAGAGAGACATAATTAGAGGTGCATGCTTTGTTCTGTGCATAGAGGAGAACTTGAAGCAAACTACAGCAGTCAAATCAAAGAGCTAAAATTGTACAACTTTGATGTTATTCAGACCTTTGGCATTTTTAAAGTAGCTGATACAAAGTCGATGACTTGGTCCCCTTCAATGAAACATAAAATAGTATGGACTCAGATTGCTAGCTATTTAATGAAATAGTGTATTAGAAATATTTTTTTTTGACTTTGTGAAAGAGGTAAGATCTTTATGAATTGTAACCAAAAGAAAAAAGATATATTTTTTAGGTCAGTTCCTGAACTGTCTAAAAATGTATTACACAAACTGAAGTGTAGATATGTTAACATCTCAAAGACAGAATGTGCCAGGACTTTTTAACCATTAAACTAACAGCTTCTCCTATTGACTCTATACCTCTAAAGAATTGCTGCTACTGTGGGCAAGACTTTCAAAAGTCAACGAATTACATGAATTCCAGATCATAAAACAATCCCTGAGCCTCAAGTAGAAGTCATTTTTTCTTCCTGACAATTTCCTCAGAATGAAATCCTCTCTAGTTTGCTTGTGTGTGTCTACATCTGATCCACAGGAGAGCACGGGAAAAGTGTTCACACACATACCCTCCCGTAAAGATGTACATATTCGTTATACTTCTGATCCTTGAGCTTCCTTTTCTACTAAGCTAAACATTCCTTTTTATCAAAGTGTACACTACTGATGCTGTTTGTTGTATTGGGAGCACGTAGCAATAAAAATTTTAACAAAATACAGTCCTGGCTCCATTTAGAGTTTATCATTGGATTCATCACTGAGTAAAGGACATGTGTTCTTTCCTCCGACAAAGTAAAATAGTATCAAATTCATTCGTCCTGGGACTTGCTCTAAAGAAGCTCAAATCAGGTGTGACAGTGTTCATAGTTTCACCTGAGTGGTGTATCATAATATTTTTGAAGCGAAATGTTTGAAAAACAATAAGCATCAAGGGGTGGCTTTTTGGTTAGGTCTGACAGAGCTATGAAAGAGGCAGGGAAAATGGGAATAATGCTAGTATGTAGGAAAAGGAAAAAGCGGACTCCTATTTTTAAAATGTGTAATCCCAGAGTGGTTTTTGAAGAAAAGCTGCCCACCAGCCTACCAGCTTTGAACCGTGATTACCTGAGGATTGGTAGAGACGCATCACCCATTACTCAGGAGTGTGGCTGTCTCCAAGTCCAAGCTCATTCCATTCACAGCGTGATGGGCCCGTTAAGTTGAAAGACAGGAATATTGCAGCAAGGAAAGCGACTTTCTTTGGAAAGCCAGCAGACCAAGAAGGTGGCAGATTCATGTCCTAAAGAACCATCCTAACTCAGGGTTTATTTCAAGCTTCCTTTATGCTAGGAAAGGGGGAGCAGGAGGGATGGAGGTTAGGGGGTTACTGAAGGCTGCAGGCATCTGGTGCCAGCAGGGGCCCAAGGAGAACTGAGAATCTCCATGTCCTTGGTTAACTGACTCTAGGTCTGGTCATGGTGTTTCTATAAATCTTTGACAGGACTGTCATTATTTAGATACATTTCCCTATCTCTTCAGGAGGAGGCAAGCTTCGAGTAAGGAGCTATTTGCTGAAATCTCAAACCATAAGCAGGATTCCTTTTGATGATTAACCAGCATACGTGCAGGGCTACAGGGCTGAGCTGAAGCCCTTTCCCCTATTTTTTTTCTTTGGCCCAAAAGTTAAGGCAGCAAAGAAGACAAATACAGTATGGATGCAAAGAGGACAACCTTTTACATGGAGAGGGAAATGGGACATCACAGAGGAGGGCCTTTCATTTTATCACAGGGAGATGCTGTAGTGCCATGAGTACCAGTTTAAACTGCAGACGCAGACAGACCAACTCAGGTTTGAACTGCCCCTGCAACTTCATCACTAAACGATCTTGGGGAACCTGACCAAAGTTCAGTTTCCTCATTTGTAAGATGGGAGGCAGAACTGTCAAACATCACTGCATGATCTCTGAGAAATGAGATAAGCTGTTAGCACAGGGCCTAATGCAAAGAAGCTCACAGTAAATACCACTGTCCTTGTATCATCCCAGGCTCCTCCTCATCTTTTTACTGTGAGCAAACCACAGCTTGCTTCCAGGGCCCACAGCTAATCTGAATCAGGGCCACTATCTCTCACTGATGGTAGTAAAGAACACAATTTCAGGAATGTGAAGACAAACTATTTCACTTTAACAGTTGATAGGAAGGATGAACTCATTAAAAATGATCACCAAGCATCAATTTTGAAGAATTTTAGCTAATTATGCCCATGCTCCCTTTATGAACAATACATAGTCAACCTAAGAAGTAACTATTAATTCTATACTTCTGCAAAGATGGTCAACAGTGCAAAAATGCCCCAATTTATTTGAAATGAAGTGTTTCTCATGTTTACATTATATACTTTGCAGAAATATCAACAAGTCATTCCTCTGTACTATCTTATATTTCCTTCATGAATAAGCTACTTCATGAATATAAGATAGAAAAAAATCAGTTGAAGAATGATAAAAACATGGGCAAGACCAAAAGGACATCAGTTGTTAAAAGTACAAGGTTAAAAGTAAAACTGCTCCAAATGCAGTAACATTAAAAACCACCTTGGGGTGCACAGACATTTCAATACATCAACTGGTGCTATCAAAGTGTTTTATGTGGTTTTGTTTAATCAACAATGTGATAATTAAATTACAAAAAAAGGAAAAAAACAGATCTGCTGCAGATATACAGATTTCAGGTTACCTATTACCTTCTGTCCTTTAAATAAAAAGGAACAGGATTGGTGTCTTAGTATACTCATGGTCACAGAAAGCAAAGACCAGTAAATGAGCCTGTGCTAGACAAAACTGAAACCCTCTTATCAGGACTTCAGGAGGCACCCCTGAAGTTTCCTATGTTCTTGTGTTGTTTATTTCCCCATTGTTGACATATACAAACAGTTATACTGAATGTACTGTAGTAATAACAAAGGAAAAATGTTTCATGATAATTTGTATGTTCGTAGTTCAGAAGAACATCAATGAACTAGAATTGACACTCAAGTATAGCAGGGTTTAGGGGCGTTGGAAGCAGGTTCAAGAAAGCATTTGTCAGTGGTTTCAGTATTTATTTTCTGCATGATTCATTCCAAATGTTCACAACCACAGTGCATCTGACTGCAACAATGTGCTAGTAACTTATGTCAGTGGTCACCTTACTCACAGTGAAGCCAGAAATGCTCTCTCCAGGGAGTAAATGTAAAATACTTGTATATAGATTTCAAAACTGAAGGTATTTATTAAAAGTTGATTTTTTTTCTTGATAGTATTTTTATGTACTAAATATTTACATTAATATCAATGACATATTTTGGTAAACTAGAGAGACATAATTAGAGGTGCATGCTTTGTTCTGTGCATAGAGGAGAACTTGAAGCAAACTACAGCAGTCAAATCAAAGAGCTAAAATTGTACAACTTTGATGTTATTCAGACCTTTGGCATTTTTAAAGTAGCTGATACAAAGTCGATGACTTGGTCCCCTTCAATGAAACATAAAATAGTATGGACTCAGATTGCTAGCTATTTAATGAAATAGTGTATTAGAAATATTTTTTTTTGACTTTGTGAAAGAGGTAAGATCTTTATGAATTGTAACCAAAAGAAAAAAGATATATTTTTTAGGTCAGTTCCTGAACTGTCTAAAAATGTATTACACAAACTGAAGTGTAGATATGTTAACATCTCAAAGACAGAATGTGCCAGGACTTTTTAACCATTAAACTAACAGCTTCTCCTATTGACTCTATACCTCTAAAGAATTGCTGCTACTGTGGGCAAGACTTTCAAAAGTCAACGAATTACGTGAATTCCAGATCATAAAACAATCCCTGAGCCTCAAGTAGAAGTCATTTTTTCTTCCTGACAATTTCCTCAGAATGAAATCCTCTCTAGTTTGCTTGTGTGTGTCTACATCTGATCCACAGGAGAGCACGGGAAAAGTGTTCACACACATACCCTCCCGTAAAGATGTACATATTCGTTATACTTCTGATCCTTGAGCTTCCTTTTCTACTAAGCTAAACATTCCTTTTTATCAAAGTGTACACTACTGATGCTGTTTGTTGTATTGGGAGCACGTAGCAATAAAAATTTTAACAAAATACAGTCCTGGCTCCATTTAGAGTTTATCATTAGATTCATCACTGAGTAAAGGACATGTGTTCTTTCCTCCGACAAAGTAAAATAGTATCAAATTCATTCGTCCTGGGACTTGCTCTAAAGAAGCTCAAATCAGGTGTGACAGTGTTCATAGTTTCACCTGAGTGGTGTATCATAATATTTTTGAAGCGAAATGTTTGAAAAACAATAAGCATCAAGGGGTGGCTTTTTGGTTAGGTCTGACAGAGCTATGAAAGAGGCAGGGAAAATGGGAATAATGCTAGTATGTAGGAAAAGGAAAAAGCGGACTCCTATTTTTAAAATGTGTAATCCCAGAGTGGTTTTTGAAGAAAAGCTGCCCACCAGCCTACCAGCTTTGAACCGTGATTACCTGAGGATTGGTAGAGACGCATCACCCATTACTCAGGAGTGTGGCTGTCTCCAAGTCCAAGCTCATTCCATTCACAGCGTGATGGGCCCGTTAAGTTGAAAGACAGGAATATTGCAGCAAGGAAAGCGACTTTCTTTGGAAAGCCAGCAGACCAAGAAGGTGGCAGATTCATGTCCTAAAGAACCATCCTAACTCAGGGTTTATTTCAAGCTTCCTTTATGCTAGGAAAGGGGGAGCAGGAGGGATGGAGGTTAGGGGGTTACTGAAGGCTGCAGGCATCTGGTGCCAGCAGGGGCCCAAGGAGAACTGAGAATCTCCATGTCCTTGGTTAACTGACTCTAGGTCTGGTCATGGTGTTTCTATAAATCTTTG